TATTTCACGCATGCGCAGTTGTTTCCCTTTTCGTTCGGAGGGAGCCACTCCTGCTGCTGCGAAGCTTTCCTTCTTAACAATGCATATTTTTTGCCCTAGTTACGGGGACTTACGATACTACTACTACTGACGCCACCAGACCCGTGAAAGGTCGGGATAAACCCTTTCCCACAGACCGTCGGGAATCGCCAGGTTCATGAATTTTATACCGCCGTGGCCGAGACTGCCTAGGTACAGATCCTAGCCAGCAGCTTCACAGAGTACTCTACGTCAACTTCAGAGATAGACAGCAGTTTTAGTATCGTATTATGAATAAAATGGGAAGAATTGAGCTTACGCAACGTTTGTCGGTTTACTTATGTGAAAAATATGACGTTGTTGCAAATAATGTAGCAACCCTTCTAATAGCATTGTAAGGATCTTAAGTTTTACTAACGTTTATTTTATTTTAAAACTTTACTATCATGTCTTATTTTCCACTTCCGGCCAGAATAAATGCGTTAACTTGCTTATGCAAACTGTATTTGCTAACGCTTAAATATTTAAGTTGTAGCTTTTATTGCAGTTTTCCGCAGTTTGCATGCTACATACGTAATAGTTTAAAAGGCTAGTCTCAGTGTTAGTCATTTGTGTAAAGTATTCAAAGTTAGCTTTTATTTAAATTTTAGTTAGTCAGTAGTTCTTACATTGTTCAGACCAAGTGGTCAATTTTTAAAGTTCAGACCAAGTAATCAATACCTTACTAGTGGTCAATCTTTGTATTCCGAAGTGCGGGAGCGTCTGTAGTATTGTGGAAGATAAAGGGTAATATAACCCTTCTGAGCTAATTCATCCTTGCTACTTTCCATAGGACGTAGTTTGTAGTCAAACTGATTGTCTAGTCAGGACGCGTCATGTTCGCCAAACAGATTAGAAGGAACAGTAGTCCTGATAACATAATCAACTAGAATTGTTCCATGTTGGCCTACAGAGATTTAAATCTGGAAATCAAATTCGTGATTTTAATGCCACAGCACTAACAAGTGGATAAAAAAAAAAAAAATCAAACTCGTCTTACTCCTCCCTCTTCTCAAGCAAAAATCCGCCTGTGTAATATGCCTTTAGCTAGAAACCGCACTTTTATACGAAAATTCGCTGATTTTATATGATTATTTAAAATATGCCCCAATTTATGGGTCACCGTATATAAATACTCAAAAGCAAATTAAACGTTAGCAGTAAGAAATAAATCAGCAAACTGAGGTATTAATGAATCTCTAATTAGCCAAAATTGACAAAATTGTTATTGGGAAGCAAATAGTCATATCACCATAAAAGCTGCTGCGTAGATATTAGGAAAGAGAATAATCTATTGCTCTTACTTCTCAGAAAAATAAATGATGTATCACTGAATTCACTCTTTCATTAACGGAAAAGACTTGCAAATCGTTCTTTGGAGATATAGATTCAGAATCATGCTAAATCAATGCCTTTTATTCAAAAAAGGAAAATATATTATTAGCCCAAAGGGAATATTAGTCTCGAAGTGACATTTTGCATCGAAACACTTAAATGCTTTGTATCACCTTTTTAAAATGTTGCCACCAAGCATTATCCCCCTCTGTTATATTTAAAAAAAAATTAAATAATGAAGAATCTGCATGAACGTGTGTATGTTTCTCTCATTGTCAAAAAACAACGGTAATTAGAGCCATCAAACTTTGAATAACGTAGTCTTCCACTCGAATATTGAGACCTTGAAGCCTGAATTTCAAGTTTGTTTTATTACCTATTTCATATTTTGTAAAACCTTAAACGAATTTTTTAATAACAAACGAATAATTTCAAAGTGAGTGATGGCAATACTGTAGGGAGTAAAACATTTTTATCTCCAGCGCGCGAGACTGTCTATCGGAAGTTCTAAAAGGTATGTTGTTTTTTCAGATATTTTTTTATTTTGCTTTTCAATAGAATTTTATGTAGCATAAGAGCCAAGAACATGATATTTAATAATAATTTTTTAAAAAATCTAAAAGATTTCTGATTTTATATTACGTCCAAATGGCGTTTTTTTTATTACATACACATGCACGTTTCTAGAACATTTGAGCTAATCTTCCTTTGGGCTAAAATATTTAAAAACAGCATATCTTTAGAATTTCCGATAGGCAGTCTCGTGCGCTGGCGATAAAAATGTTTCCCCCCCTACCGTGTCGCTTTGAAATCATTGAGCTTTGAGTTTGTTAATCAAACATTCGTGAAATTTTTACAAAATATGAAATAGACAATAATACAAATTCCAAATTGAGGCTTTAAGGTGTCCATATTGGGCTGGAAGACTACGTTATTAAAAATCTGTTGTCTCCAAGTACCGTTGTTTCTTCACAATGCGAACATTGATACATTCATGTAGATTCCTCATTATTTAATTTCTCTAACTATTATACAGGGCGATAATATTTGGTGGAAACAATTTAAAAATTTTACGCCGTATATTGTGAACCCACGCAAAATGTCCTTTCGACCAATAAAATTTGAACCCTTTAAGATATTTCTTTAATCCTAGTATAATATGTTATGAAAACAGTTTTAGTTTTCCCATAGATATACTTAATTAAAGTTATATTTCCTATTTAAACAACAAACAGATTCATAACATCTTTATCTACTCCAGTTTTTTTTTTTTTTTTTTTTTTTTTTTTTTTTTTTTTTTTTGTTCTTGTTTTGTAAAATTTAGTTCCTATTCTACCACTGTTTTAAGAGTCTCATGAAACGTGAGAGCATGAACATGAAATCGATCACAAACATATCACTAAATTATTGACATTTTTTGAGATAATTAGGCTTATTTATTTATTTTCTGTTTCTTATTTTTTATATATAATTGTTACATAGCAATAATTTTTATTTTGCTTTGTATTCATTTCTTTTCTGGTACATATGTATTTCCTGTCTATTTTAACATAGTTTTTAGTTCAATTATTTGTGTGCTTAAATGGTTTCTTTTTAATAGTATTTATGTTTCTATGTGGACGCACTGTGGCTAAGTTATTTGAATATGGCAAAGGCATAAGATGACTATCTGCCTCAGAAGAAGATTGGCTTGATTTGATTCAGTTAATTATCTCAAAAGCCTAAGGATAGGGATGCCTTCGTGGAGGACTTTCTAAGGGAAACTGGCTCGTATCCACGTTACACACGGGGAAAACCAGGAAAACGCCCGTTCACCTGGAATCGAATCCAGGTCGGAAATACCAGTGTGCTGCGATTTTACCACTCGGCTGCTGGTAGGCCGGCATAAGAATAAGAATGCCTTAGTGGAGGACTTTCTAAGCGAAACTGGCTTTTATTCACATTACTACACATGGGAAAAGCCATCAAAACCAACCATCCTGCTAGCTCTTTCCTTTGGACTCGACTCAAGGTCGAACAATCAGTGCTCAGTGGTTTTCACCATTCGGCCTTTGAGGGGTCGGATATTCTCTGGTTTGGTTTATTTAATTTTTGCAAAGCACATGACGGCTGTCTGACTAAGGGGAAGGATGCCTTTGTAGAGAACTTTCTAAGGGAAATTGTCTCGTACTTACGTTACACATGGGATAAACCACGAAAGCACCCATGCAGCCAGTCTGTTCGCCGAGATTGAACCTCGGACACAAATACCTGTGTTCAGCGATTTTACCGCTCGGCAGCTGGATGGTAGTACACTCTAGAGTCGTACAAATAATGCAAGCCAATAAGAGACGGTTGAAGACCACTGGGTTTTAAAAAATAGAAACTTGTAGTCAACTTGAATATTTTTGGCGATTTCTTGTCAACTTCATATGGATATTTTTATACTGCACCTTTTAGACAGCTTCAGGCTGACTTTTCAGAATCCTTCGAGCTGTTCAAATTCATGAACAATCAGTTTATCTTCAAGTCCTTTGACAAGAATGCACATATCACGTCCTTCGCGCTCCCTTTGGGACCCCTTTTATCAAGAGTATAATTGTTTTTTTTTTTTTTTTTTTTTTTTTTTTTTTTTTTTCTACAATCGCGGTCTCTAATTTGTTTATAGACTTGATCATTACTACTGCCGGAAGTGGTGGTCAGCTTTATGGAGACGCATAATAGGTGGACTAACATTGCCTGATGGGCCGGACAAATTACATCCATGCCTTCTCCGGGATTGGAGCCCGGACCACTAACCACCTTCTTGTCCAAGTGGCTTCAAGAGTATAAATATGTTGTCATGAAAAACTTCTCAATCATTTCATAGTTAGTTAATCCGTAGATATAATTTTGTTAAGTCCTCAGAGATTTTTTAGTCCTTGCTCATGAATGGTGTTTCGTAATTCATGAACATTCTATTCCTATATCGAACAGAGTCTTTTGGTTTCGTTTGAACTATTTTTAGCTGCTTCTCTAGCGTACAAATGTTGTTGTTTCGTTTATCGCCAAGTTATTTTTTCATTTATGGTAACTTGAGTAGTTGAATGTTCCGTAAATATATTTTTTACCTAGAATTGGGTGCTCCTTTGACTTTTTAAGTGAAAATATATCGATGTGTACATGGGCAAAGTCAAGGTACTGCGAAGTTTGTGCAATTCTCTGATGTTTTTTAAGTGAAAATAGGTCGACGTGTACATGGTTAAAGGCAGTGCGCAATGCCTAGTTTGTGCAAGTCTGTGATTTTTTTAAGTAAAGATAGGTCAGTGTGTACATGGATACCGAGTTTGTGCAATTCTTTGACTTGTTATTTTGTCTTTGTGTAACGGCGATTTTTGGCAGTAAAATCACCTACACAAAGCCAAAATAACAATTCAGGGAATTGCACAAACACAGTATCCATGTACCGTCAAAAATCGCCAATTTTTGCCAAGGGGTACCCGTAAATATACTTTTACCAGAGAATTTTATGGTTCTTTAATACAAGAATACTGAAGACATTGATAAATAATTTAATTTCTATTGAAAATATTGATAACGAATACAAGTTCTATTGAAAACATTGATAAACAATGCAATTTCTGTTTCAGATCCTCCAGGTTTTCCTACTATCGAAGGATATAGAACGAATGAAAAAATCAGAGCTGGAGATTCTGTCAACCTTCGCTGCATATCTCGAGGTGGTAACCCACTTGCTCGTCTCTTATGGACTAAAGACGGAGAATATATTGATCACTCTTATTCCACTTCCGACTGGGAAGCTACGAATGAAATTTCTTTTGTTGCTAGCGCTTCGGATGACGGTGCTGTTTATAAGTGTTCCGCTTCCAGTGTCATGACTTCTGAGCCTATGGAGAAATCTGTCACTCTTAGTGTGCTGTGTAAGTAAAATTTTAGTGCTTCTTTCTAGGACTAATTTATGATGAAGTTGGTAGGGTTGAATAAGGTAAGCTTCTAGACTACTGGTTACTGTTACTTACTGCTAAAACCAATCTAAATTGCAAACATGCTTAAAAATAATCAGAACTCTATCTTAGATTTACATTCATTTCATACACAAATACTGTACGAAGGAATCTGTATAACTTCACGTTTTATGGCATCTTTCAGTTTTCACAAATCTTGCGGACTGAATCACATGTGGCGGCTTGAGGAGGTAGCATCATCTTGCATCCATACAATGCCATTAATGACATTTCACTGTTGCAATTCCGGAATTACTTAATTCTGCAACATTATTTCATACTGAGCACTTGTGATGGAGCACGTTTTCTTACATATGGAGGTGTTCTCTTCGAAGAAGTACGTACGGAGAACCAATCTGCTTGCAACGCCACATCGCATAGTACTTCGTGTAAAGATGTTGGTGCCACATCGTGAGGATTTTAGTGAGCCCGGAGAAAGCAGTTCTGTTTGTTTACGTTTCCATTTAAGGAGAAATGCGCCTCATCCGTCCCTAATATCCGCAGTTTCCTCCTGCAATATTCATCAAATTGGATAAGAAAAAATTCGCATCGACACAAAAAATTGGACACGCTGCTTCTCGTGTTCAACATGCAACAGCTGGAAGCGCTGAATTGGATAAGGGAACATATGCAGAACAGTGCGCAGAAGCTTGAGGACTGTGGTTTTCGTTACATCCAAACTGCGGTCAACAGTTCTTGCGATATCAACATAAACACATGGTCTTCCGGATCACGGTCTATCACATAGGCATACAAATTCTTCGAATTGCTTCTTTAAATGTTTCAACGAAATCACGAACTATTTTTATGGAAGAGGGACCTCTTCTTAGCTTAATAATTTCGCCGATAAATTCGCACTGCTTTGGCAGCACTCACCTTGTTGCTTCCCTGTTAAGTGTCATCTCATAAACACGTTCGAATACCTGACTGAAGAAACAATCTTCCCAGACTGCTTATTAAAGGTTGTTTCCAAACATTGCTTTCCACATAGTGTTCTGTGATTGGTCTTCTACTGTCTGTCCCTATGAATCATGCAGTATGTCTCAATGTACTTCCTCTCTCTGTATTGTCATTTGTCCTTTGCAATGCTCTTCCTTGCAAATGTTTTGCTCCTTCAATTTTCGTCAACCGTGCCTCGTTCCAACGCCATTTATGGTTTTTCAATGCGCTGATTAATTTGCGCACTAAAATGGGGGTGTTGCCCTTCGAAAGTTTCGAAACGTTTTCACTGTAACCATAACCGTGAGAGCTTTATATTTTCTAAATCATTGGAATCTTAGCACATACCTGAAAATAACAATATTTGGAATTTCCTCTCGCTTGCTTGTGCGCATAGACCGCTAAGATTTCGTATACCAGAGAAGCTTTTTTTATGATCGCCCTGTATGATTAGGTGAATACAAATTATTAAAAAATGTTGCACATAACCTAACACAATCAGTGAACTTCAACAGGGTACCTCATATCTTCTTTTAATCTGTCACTAAGCACATGAAAAGGGCAGCACTAATCATAACGCGATACCTTATCAGAAGAACTGTAAAATCAATATTTGAACTCTTCAATACGAAACCAAATTAAAAGGTTTCCGCTCGTATTTCAATTATAGGATGGCAATATTGCGCGCAGTTGTGGGAACATCTTTCATGTTCATGTTGACGAGTGGTGGGATTATCCTGTGTTGTTGAGGAATCCGGATCACTGTTAACAGCCTCCATCGGAATTTGATGCATTACTTTTATTCCGCATCCTTTGTCATCTCACCTTCTAATGAACCGTGAAACAAAACATTGTGCGTATACTATACATTGTGCGTATATTGCTATTGTGCTTATAAAGATATTGTGAGTAAACAAAACGTTGTGCGTATCGTACAGATCATTAGACCTGACAGCAATACTCACGAAAACAGCCGCCACTACTACGCACATTGATCGTTACTGTTTTCAGAATAAAGTAAAGTTGGACACTTTTCATACAGGCCTTCATTTATTCATTTGTTTTTTATGAATAGCATACTTATGGTGGATGCAATAATTAGACTACATAAGCATTCTTCTAATAAAATATCTGCTTTTTTAACAATTCATTTTTAACAATTCATCAATTGCTTTTTTAACAAACTTTCAGATTCACCATCATCTACTACAATAAAAGCCCCAAAAGAAGCCAAACCTGGTGACGTGATCACTGCCACTTGCAAAACAGAAAGAAGTAATCCCGCTGCAGAAATAACATGGGTCGTTGACGGACAACCTATGGATTCGGAAAACATTATAGAACCCGACGCCAAAGGCGGATGGATTACAACGTCAAAAATAAAAATTAATGTAACAGAACAGGTACCAGTTTATTTTTATTAAATATTCAGAAGAGAAATCTATTGAGCTGTGATTAAATAACCCATATTGTAAACATTTTCATCAACTTCATGTCATGGACTGATGCATGTTCATTTTTTTTTGGACCAATGCATTAGTTTTTGGACCGATGCATGTTCAATGCTCAATTAAGGTCTGGTCCTTTAGTTACAGCATTCTTTCAAGGGCATTCAAAGTGCATCGTCCTTTCTTCTATCGGAAGGAAACAGAATTAAGAGAAAAGATAGAATTATTTAGAATCCCTTAGAATCTAGCATTCTAGGCCTGGCTTAAGGAGTAATTATGCCAAATACATACTTTATATTTATCTAAAATTAGGCAAAACACCAACCTTGTCCTTTGGCGTAGATTTTAATTAAGGCTCTATCGATTTCTAGAGACAACAGGTACAGGTCTATCTTCGTGAGGTACAAAAACGTACTTCCAAGAATATACTTAATTCGATTTAAGCGGAACTGAGTTTTGATTTAGCTCTTCGATCTATATAGGTAATAGACATCGCGTCTACTACTTTCGAATTTTTCTGATTTCCCGTACTAACGATAAAACAAGAACTGATAGCTGTACTTTGCTATTTCTATCGAACTTTTCTTTTGAAGCTCGATTACATTGTATATTGATTTAAAGTGAGTCGCTTGCGTTTCTTGGTAACAAAACTACTTCACGTTTTATTTTTTATGTCATTATTAGCATTATTGCTGTTTTAAATAAGTATTAAAATTTGTAGTGGCGTTCTGTGTGGCGTAGTGGGCATAACTGGCGCCCGGTATACGATACTTTTTTGGCGTCCCCTAAAAAATATAGAATATACTCTTAATAAGAGTATAATACAAATAATAATAGAATGCAGTACCTACCTTAAAATACTCTACACTATAGTATGGAAGTACCTAACTGAGATTCTACGAATACTATACTGTTTATCGTAATACATAGGGACATAGACTCAGGCTTTAAACGTGAGACAAAAAATGTAGTTAAAAAAATCAAGACCAGGATTAGATTCGGAAATGTGTCTGTGTCAGTGGAAAAATTGGACATATGGGTCATCTAGAATTAATTAAAAGATATATTTTTTACATATATATATAATTGTTTTAAAAAGCACACAGTTTTTAAATAATGAAAAAAGTTAATATGTATTATATATGTTACCGTGAAAGACCGAAATTGGAGAATGTCGACTTTCACCAGAGAATATCAACATTCACCAAATACGTCGGTGAAAGACCGAATATTTCACTACATTCTTGTATATTCGGACTCTCACCGGTGTATGTCGACAATCACAGATATGCTCTGGTGAAAGTCGAAAAGAGAAGTCATAAAGTGCCATAATAGTTTAAGTTGTTGCAATAAAATAAGATTTGAATCATATAATTTAGTAAGTTTTTTATTACTGTTATTTTATTTTCTCATTTAGACGTACTGTATAATTAAGTAAGTTTTTAACTTCTATTATTTTCCTTTCTCATTTTGAATGTATTGTGTTTTTTAGGTTCTCATGTTCTTAAGTTCTTATTTCAAGTCTCAAGTGTGTTTATTCGCGACTGAATTACGGAGAAGAAAATATAATATTGTTATATGTTCAACATTCACCATTAGTACATGGTGAATGTCGACATTGACAGGTGTAAATCAGAAATAAGAGTATTTGGAAAATATTTCGGACATACACCAAGAGACTATGTGAATGTTGACATTCACCGCTGAAAGTCGACATTCTCCAGATTTCGGTGTTTCACCGTAACATATATAAGTAGATATATTTAATAATGATGATAATAATATAATATTATAATACAATTAATTACTATGCATATATTTTTCTTGCCTTTGATGAAGCAAATTTATCAATTGCTTTTTAATTAAATTTTTCTCTTTCCATAATTAGAAATCGTACGTTATTCAGGAGATCTTGTTCCATCATTGATCGTAGATATGCCAAAATGAATTTTAATTTGCTGAACAGTTGACTATTGATACTCAATTAGTAAGGAATGTTTGAAGTGTAACTCTCAGGTTTGGAAAAGAACAGGAGTATAACCTGAATCTGATTTTACTTCTTTTCTTATGTTATAGTCTTTCCTTTTGCTTTTTAACTAAATATGATTCTTTATTATTCTGGAGTTCTGAGCTTCTTTTTCTTTTCCGATTCTGAGAAAAATTTAGTGTTTTTTTTAGTCCAAAGGGATTTGAATCCCGAAGGACTATTAGTTTCGTTTTGGCATTTTGCGTCGGACTCATAAATGTCGGTTCACTTTTCAAACTGTTGCCACAAAATGTTAGAGTCCTGCATTATATTTGAAGAAATTAAATAATGAAAAATCTGCATAAATGTATGTATATTTCTCGTATTGTGATAAAACAACGGTACATAGAGTCATCGAATTTTGAATAACGTAATCCTCCAACGAATATGAGCATGTGGAAGACCAAATTTGAAATTTGAAATTTGTTTTATGATCGATTTCCTATTTTTTAAAACTTTGACGATTTTTGATTAACAAACTCAAGGATTTCAAAGCGAGCAATGGCAACGTTGTGCAGAAAAAACATTTTTATCTCCAGCGCGTGAGTCTCTGTATTGGAAATTCTAAAGATATGCTCGTTTTAAAACTATTTTACGATATTGCTGTTGCACTGGATCTTATGGTTTAAGTGCGAGGAACATGATATTTAATAAAGAAAGGTAACACACAAAATGTTAAAAAACGCCCCTTTGGACGTAATTTAAAATCTGAAACATTTCAGATTTTTTTTTTTTTTTTTTTTTTTTTTTACTGGCATTGACCATGGTATAAATAAAAAGTCGATTTTTACTTTATTAACTAAGATATTACGTTTGAAGAACACAACAAAATTAAATAAAATATAAAAAAGAGAATTTACTCTATTGCAATTTACTAACAATACAGTAATAAAATTTAAATACTGTCCATCTCTTCCATTACTTAATTGAAGAATGTTAACAATTTCACTTCACTAAATAATAGAATCGTCAAGTAGTTGTTATGAAGTAAAATGCATAACAGAAATATAGTTCCGCTGCAGAATTGATAATAGTTCAAGGTCGAAGAACTTATAATAAAAGACTACAGTGTATCGTTTGTTATCATTTTAAAATAACAAGCATAAGGTTGTAGATTCGGTATTTTGGAAGCAAGCGAGATGAAAAAGAGCAACGCCTTCGCCGACTGAATGCTGAATGTGGAGAATCATCATCCACCACCCTTTTAGTTAGGGCGCTACTGTAGCAACATTAGGTAATTTGCAAGCAGAAGAGATGAAAAATGACAAACGCCCTCGCCGGGAATCGAACCACGGACCTCTGGAATCGGCGCCCAGCGTTTCGGACCACTACACCACGAAGGCATGCTAAGAAAGGGGGGGAGAAATACCTTATAAGGTAACGTGTATATCGTTTAAAAAATAAAAACATCACTATTCTAGACAAATAAATGTTCAGAAAGGAGAAGAAAAAGTTTTACATACCAAGATATTTGATTGATTTACTGCAAACACTATTTATAATATATTTTACTCACGAATCACGAAAGGATATAATTAATTAGATTACAATAATTATTATTTTAAAACAGATTTCCCAGAAATCTATAAAAAAATAAATGAAATTAATACAGGTCTCCAAATAATAAAAATTAATAATGCACCAATTTTGCGAAAACGTACTACTTGTTTAGAATCTCAGAAAACTTAAGGATTGACTGGAGTACATTTTTTAAGACGCAAAGGCCATAAATGCTTCTAACTTACCTGTATCTTAGCTGTGCCGCGAAATATCGAGAAATGGTATCTAAATAATATCGAGAAGTGGTATTTAACCAATTCGCAAACTTATTTCCTCACGTGAAATATGATGTAGCAATAAATTGTATTAAAATTAATCAAACACCGCTACAAAATAATAATGATATCTCTAGAAACTTTACTAATTTCAATTTCAGGATTTCTGAGTTTGTAATGGAAATATGTCTATTGACACTTACATAGAGTTTGTTCATATATAGAATTTACATAGTTCATGTCATTTAGAATGGTAGAAATTCTCTGGTAGTCTCTAAAAGTTTCGAAATTTATAAACTAGATTTATGGGCAAATGAACCAGCTTGAGCACTGATCAATAACTTGTGATGTTTAATCACAGAAAATTCACTTGCGAAAGGGAAAGTGTTTATAATTTAAGACATTCGAATATATAAATAGATTATTTTGATCACGATTAAATGATTTTAGTAAGAAACGGACAGATAAAGCTTTCTCTTTCAATCAATTAGAGTTTGTTTACTTTCAAAATTACAAGGGAAAGAATTAAGAATACATGAAAATTGATATATATTTGCCCTTCGGAAAAAAGTTCCAAATCGTGACCTCAAAGTTCCGAGACGTGAACATATATCGCTGCATAATACTTCTCAAAATAATAATATATAATTTTCTGCTAAATGTATTCTGATGTTGAAAATGGTGAAATGTTTCTTTTACCACACAGTTAACTCACAAACTAAGTTTCCTCTACGTTAATCAGTTAGTTTCTCGTGGGCGTTGAGAACAGTCAAAGAGTTTCCTTGTAGATAGAGTTTAGTTTTGCGAATATATCTGGAAGATATGACGGTGTACCCATTCACATGTCAACAGCAAGAAATGAAATACAATACATTTAATTAACTTCATTTATAAATAACAGGATATTTTTGACTCGGATTTTTAGAAATGTTGGTGTAGCGAATGAAATCACATATAAAAAATCTGCTACAATTTGTTTACTTCGGTTCTGTGCTTCTGGTCTTCATTTTATTTGTTAAGCAGCGTCGTAAGATACAATTACCCTCTTTGTTTCGATATTTCTTCAAGTTCGATATCTTTTTACCTTTAGGCATTACCGCTTGAAGAAAATATTCACTGCAAGCCTCACGTACAAGCCAACCCACTAAATAAAA